TAGGGTTCAGGGTTTAGGGGTTTCCACAAGCGAAGCTTGGAGCAGTGACTTAGCATCTTCGGCTGCGTCCCTGGCCATCATCGCAATAAGTATCATCGTCAAGCCAATCTACTACAACCCCGAACTATGAACTATGAACCCTAACCCCAGAACCCTAAACCCTAAACCCTAAACCCTAAACCCTAAACCCTAAACCCTAAACCCTAAACCCTGAACCCTAACCCCAGAAGCAGTCGCAATTGGCCGGGGACCGGACGAATTTGTCGACCTTAGGGAGGGGAGTCTGGAGTCCACTAAGGGCTCTTCCTATGAAGGTATGTTCAAGGTTTAGGGCTTAGGGTTTAGGGTTTAGGGTTTATGTTCAAGGGTGCTATAAGGGTATTGATCCCAAACTTCCTGGTGTGAAAGGGGTACAGCACCTAGCCTCGGATTCAGAATCGTGATGCTGACTAACCACGTTTAGCAGGTTCTGACTTCGTCTAAGGTTGCTTCAGACATGTCGGATTTATACCCAAAAACCGAACAAGTAGACACTGCAATACAGAATCACCTCAAGAGTGCAAGTGTGGAAGAAAGCTAGGTTGGCACAGAAACTATGCCTCACACACGTCACTCGTCTTGAGCCGACATACGGAACTATCTAAACATTAATGGTGCCCCACGACTGGCAGCTGTTCGCCTGGCTTTGGGAATGCCAGGGTTCCTAAACTTCCAGCCGCTCTCTCAATCCTGAACCCGCAACCCTACAGCTCAAAATCTGTTCGTGAAAGGGGTTTCGGCCTGAGGGGAACAGCTTCCAGATTGGATGCAAACCTACACCCAGGCCGAAAATTTAAAAGCCCTAAACCCTAGACGGCCCGGAACCTTAAAACCCGACGCCCTAAAACCTCAAAACCCGAAACCCCCAAGCCCAAACCCTAGACACTACTCCTGAAGCCCTAAAGCCTCAACCCCGAACCCTTTCTTCTGGCCGGATCATAGAGTCGACTGACGCATCCAACCCCGAACCCTAAATATCCCTAAACCCTAAACCATCCAAAAAAGGGGCTGTACTCTTCATATTCCTCCCAGGGCCGACCCAGTACCGCCATGTCAAAGTCCTTAGACTTGGGGCTGCAGGTAATGTTAAAAGGAAACTACAGGTGGGGAGCTTAGGGTATATAGGGCTTCTATTATAAGGCTTCCATAAGGTAGATAGACCTTCTACAAGGCTCCTATAAGGGTAACTACCCACCTGAAAATGTCCTAGACAATCAGGGGGCCCAGAATCGGGTTTTGGGGTTCCTCTAAAGGGTTCCTTAAAGGGTTCTATAAGGGCTACTATAAGGTTTGGAGAATTAGAATAGGGGTTTTTGGGTTACATGACACGATAACTGCAATAAGGAACCCTTACACACAATATTGGTAATAAATGAATCGAATAGGGTTCCTTTAAGGGTTGCGGGGGTCAACAGGTGTTTCTGTTGGGTTCGAAGCTTCCTTAAGAAGGCTTTTGGGATTTGATTAGGGTTTAGGGTTTAGGGTAGAAGGTTGGATCAGGGATCACGGCTTTACTAGATATTCTTAGTGTCTGTCTGTGTGTGTTCAAGGTCTCAGGATTTGGGGGCGCTGTGAACTTCAAGGGCCTCAACTGCGAAGACTGTAACTTGCGGCTTTTGGTGTCGGAAGAAATCGAAACTGGTTGTGATGCGGATATTTTTAGTCATTTCAGCAATGGTTATGCAGGCCTTCGGGTTCAGCAGTGACGGCTTCCAATCAAGCTTTGGAGTTGAGTGTCTCAGGCTCCGTACCCGGGCTCTGAAATTGTTGTCACTAGGTTTAGGGTCTAGGGTTTAGGGTTTAGGGTTTAGGGTTTAGGGTTTTGGGTTTGGGAAGTCTCCTGATGCTAGATTCGAAGCAAGCATCCATGAACAGCCTGCAGTCCATCGCGTCACCGTCTGCACACTTGTGGTGAGCAGTCTGCTCCTGGGTAGTTGTCAAAATTATGGTCCCTTTTGGGGTTCCCTAAATAATAGGTGCAGTATTATTATAAGGACCCAAAAGAGACCATAATTTTGACAACCACCCTCCTGGGCGTAGCGCGAGCGTCAGTGGTTCAGGATTCAGGCTTTGAGCTTCAAGGGTTTAGGATTTAAGGTTCAGGGTTTAGGGGTTTAGGGTTTAGGGGTTTAGGGTTTAGGGTTTAGGGTTTAGGGTAGGGCGGCCCTCCGTGCTCTGTGCGTGCGCGCTGTGGCGCCAGCTCGAAAAAAGATTTCCGCCACTCTTTCGCTATTAAAAACATATTTCCAATGGGATCCAGTATATTGAGTTGCGGCGGCTCCAGCATTCCGGAAAAAGGCGTTTCGTTTGTCTTCTAAGTTCTAATCAGCTGTGTGGGAAAAGCACTGGAATAACAATGCTCGATACTTTCTACGCCACTCAGAACTAAGCCGGAAAAGCCCGAAATGCCAAAAAGCGTGAGGCTTTGGATTTTCTTTAGGGGTCTGAATCATTAGAATAGGGCTTTGCGGCATGGTATATGTAATACAATCATAATAAGGAACCCCAAATGGTATTGGTAACTAGTTGGGCCCCAATATTAGGGCGTCACCGGTTTAGGAGCTTCAGGCCCAGGGCTGGCAGTAAACCCCCAAACCTGGCACCCTAAACCCCAACGCAGAACCCCACCAACTTGAAAATCTACTAAAGTTTAGGGTTTAGGGTTTAGGGCTTAGGGACCAACTTGAAAATCTACTACAGTTTACGTCTGAGATCGGACAACTAGCATCCCCCAGCCCCACAAGCTTACAACATAAGCCCCTCTAAACCTGGGCCTCAACGTCAAACCCGAACAAACTCGAATTTTGCAGATTGACCCAAGACTCGTAAACCCGATAAAAGCCTTCAAGCACTCAACCCACAACCTTGAACCCTAAACCATCAAACCCTAAACCCCAATTCCTAAAGCCTAAACCCTAAAATCTCAAAATGCTGAGCCCTGGGCGATCCATCTTCTGACCTAAGCGGGCCCAGGTTTCAAGTGTAGAGTTGCTCTCTCGAGGCTTTATACGGGTTGTAAGGGCCGTTTCGAATGGTTAGATCCTCGGAGCTCTTGGGGTTCTTTTTTGGCTTTCTATGGGGGTTTGCTGTAAGGTGCAGCATCTGGGGATCGGCTCTAAGCATCCTTGAGTGCTTCAACCTAGAGGGTTTAGGAGTTGAGGGCTTCAGTTCATCCTACATCTGCACTGGTTGTGAGCTTGGGGCTTTGGTTTTATATGATGCTTATGCACAGTTTGGATTTCGGGGGAGGGGGGGGGGGCGGGGGGAGGAGGGGGAGCTGAGTCCACACAGTTCGCCACATCTTAGGGGCAGTGTCTTGCTTGCCCGCTCGCCGAGAAATGTCGTTGTTGACCGAAAAATCAAGAAGAGCCAAATGCTGGAACCCTCCGCCACACCAACCCAAGCCTCCAGAAAGCAAAACTTTGAACCCCTGCACAACCTCCCCTAAACCCTAAACCCCTAAACCCTAAACCCTAAACTCCTCTGTCCCCGACCCCACGACTCTCAAACTCCACCCTCCACCCCCCCCCCAACACCAAAACTCTTGAACTTCCCCCTCCCTCCCCCAGCTACCCACCCCAAATCCTAAACCCTAAACCCTAAACCCCTAAACCCTAAACCCTAAACCCTAAACCCTAAACTCTAAACCCGAAACTCTCAACCCGAAACCCTAAACCCTAAACTCTAATCCCTAAACCCTAAACTCTAATCCCTAAACCCTAAACTCTAAGCCCTAAACCCTAAACTCTAAACTCTTAACCCTAAACCCTAAACTCTAAACCCTAAACTCTAACCCCTAAACCCTAAACCCTAAACCCTAAACCCTAAACCCCGCCTTGCTCGCAAGGAGGCCCTTCTGATGACCGGGCGGCGCGCCCGACGGCAGGGCCTCCTTCGATCCGACAGAAGCTCGACTACCAAATCTACTATACTAGAACCAAGTGTTTAGGGTTTAGGGTTTAGGGTTTAGGGTTGAAGGATTAGGGTTTAGGGGGTTTAGGGTTTAAGGATCAGGGTTTAGGGTTGTTTAGGGTTTAAGGATTAGGGTTTAGGGTTTAGGGGAACTATACATAAGGGGATACGATCATTAGGCATTAATTAAGGCCCCTATCTACTATACTATAACCAAGGGATTAGGGTTAAGGGCTTAGGGGGACGACACGTAAGGGGATACTATCATTAGGTCATGAGGTATTACTATAACCAACGGTTTAGGGTTTAGGGTTTAAGGCTTAGGGGGACTATACATAAGGGGACACTATAAATATCAAGGCCGCTATATTACTACTCTAATCTACAGGGGGGCAATGCACTTGATAGATTGCCTATGAACGCAGATGAAACTGTGTCTCCTGGAAGTATTCGTGTTCGCTATTTGTGTCGTTCTTAGCATCATGGTTCTTATAGTCCCTAAAGGCATTGTTACGGTGGTTGTAGTTCATGATTCAACCGACCCTGAACCTTCAGACCCACAATCGTCCAGCTACATAAGCCCTTAAAATCATACCCAGCAACATGGTCACTTGGTCCAGACCCTTGATCCCTAAACCCTAAACCCTAAACCCGAAACCCTGCACCCTAAGCCCTTGACAACCTGCTAAGTCCTGCGCAAATAGGTCGAACAAGTCGGCGCTGTCCTTCTCGTTCCTGGGGTCTACAAGGGCAATCGCTGCTGCTAGTGTTGTTGGTAGTCTATACACAGTGGTCGTAGTGATGCTCCAGCAGCAGAGAAGAAGTGACGCTCTTGATGCATATTCCAGTGTCGTGGTGGGAGTGGCAGTAAACCCACCCTAAACCCCTAAACCCTAAACCCCTAAACCCTACACCCCAAACCCTAAACCCTGAACCCTAAACCCCTAAACCCTAGACCGTGGTAGAGCCGCTGCTGCTGACCCCTTTCGAAAAAACTCAGGAGGCAGGGGACTTCCAGTCAAGCGAAGCACTTCAGTTTGAAGCCCATCTACAACCCCTACTTTGGGAACCTTTACGACTTGAAGCCCCTAATTCAGCTGCCAGCTGGTCATTCAGGGTTTAGGGTTTAGGGCTTTAGGGCTTTAGGGCTTTAGGGTTTTAGGGTTTTAGGGTTTTAGTTTAGGCTTTAGGGTTTTAGGGTTTTAGGGTTTTAGTTTAGGGTTTAGGGTTTTAGGGTTTAGGGTTTAGGGTCAAGTGGCTGCGGGCTTCCTGCCCGCGGGTTGTAGATCACCTGGGCTTCAGAATTCGAGGGTTCTAGGTGTGCTCAGGACGGTTTAAGGTTTGGGGTTTAGGGTTTAGGGCTTTCCTAGACTTCTGGGGCTTTGCTTGAAAGATCACGGAAGTTGGTAAGTATGCCTCACTGTCACTTGGCGCTCTGCACACACTTCGTGGTGCGGTCCGAACTGCAAGCCTGCTTCTGACCCATCTACTTACTAAGCTCCCGGATCCGACACCTTGTAAAACCATAAACCCTCCTTGTAACCCCTACCGCAAATCCCAGAAAGTTGGAACATGGGCTTAGGAGGATTACTGCTAGGATTCCCTCATTGAGGCTTTGTGAGGAGCTTGTATTACCAATTATTCCGGCCCCTAGAATAAAGAACACAGACAAAGCTTCCCAGAAGACCTTACCAGGTTCTTAATTCAGGAAGTTGGGTTTTGGGGTTTCTGATTTTGGGTGGTTTGGGGTTTACAGTTATGTAAAGCCTCAGACGCTAGACTCTAAACCTCAAGGCGTGCCTCAAGATCCGAAGGCCTTGGGCACTGTGGGAAATCTGCGATTCATGCATGCCGAGGATGCTTCGGTGTTAGAGACACCCCATGCGAAATCCGGAAACCCTACACCCTAAACCCTAAACCCTGAACCCCTAAATCCTAAACCCTAAAACCCTAAACCCGAACGCCCTAAAGCCCTACAGCCCTAAATCCTAAACCCTGAACCCTAAACCCTAAACCCTGAACCCCTAAACCCTAAACCCTGAACCCCAAACCCTAAACCCTGAACCCCAAACCCGAACCTTGGTAGCGAATGGCAGACCCAAAATCCAAGATGCATCGTGGAAGAAGATCGCCAAGCCCACGGCTGCAGCATCTTCGATAGAGGCAGCATACTCCTTGGAGGCAGCGGGGTTTAGGGTTTAGGGTTTAGGAGTTCAGGGTTTAGGGTTTAGGTTTTTTTTTGACACCTCTTTTCCACCTGCCTGGTTAGTTAGGTCGAACGCCAAGTTGGCTGAG